ATCAGGGCCAGGGGCATCATCTCCATGCGGCTTTGCTTGCTGCCATAAGCCAGAAATGAGACGAAAAAACCCCAAAATAAGAGCACATTTAAAGATTTGAGGTACTAAAGTGAGGCTGAGATTGGAAGTTTAATGTTGGATGCTGAAGTATGACCTGAGTTAGCAAAGGAAAGTAAAGAGTTTTTAAATTAATCCATTAGCACAAAGAGGACAGCTGGTTTCATCGTTTGCGTTTCGTGTGGAGATTCAAAGCATGCTACTACTAAGAAGGTGTGGTTGGCACGGAATTATAAAGTCTGAACTATGCCTGGAGGTAAAAATAGCCTCTACAAAAAGACGGTGAAGGAGTTAAAGGCAATCGTCAGACCGTAAAAATGCAAAACATCTGCTAAAAAGTTTTTATACACAACTAAAGTGTGCTACTCTATGTTGTGACCTGTCTGCATAATCACACATTTTTAAATAGCTAGTTAATGCGATTGCAAGGAGGAGGTGACTGTTTCAGTGACGCACCCATCAACTGCGATATGGTAAACGTTACCGTCCTAGTCGTTTTAAGATGGACTATTTTCGTTTAAAACCATCCGCCACAATTTGTAAACACCAACTCAAGAGAACCATCTGGCGCTTGGCTGCTTCGTTTCCTTCGTTTTACCAATGATTTTACTCAACTAAAGTGAATAGCGCTGAAATTGACGACGTTGCAATCAAGACTTTCATGTTATTGTCACTTTAAGAGTTGAATTCGTAGACTAAGGCTGAACTAAAAGTCGGGAGTAAATAGCAACCGAGCGATTCTCTTCCGTCGCTTAACAAAATCACGCACGGAAGTCTCAAAAGGCAATGCAGTTGTGTGACCGGGTTGCTCTCTTGGGAGGTCTCTTTACCGGTGCGTCGAAGGTTTTCACACTCTGCAAACTACTAGTCAAGTTGCCAAATGAGGATGAAAGCAACTCCTTTTTCTTTACATCTTTTTGACTTCGAACTGAAAGGTTCCCGAAAAATAGGCCTCTAGTTCGTCGGAGTCGGTCCCATTTGTCATCAACATGACCAAATTACCAACGTCGTCGCGAATTGCAGTAGAATCGTGAATATTTCGAAGGCAAAATATTCGCCGTATCGTAGGCAAACAGATGTACTTTTAGACAAAACACATTGCAAGTAACAGTAATTTTTTAGGCCAATATTTAAAGGGTCTCTTCAAACGCCTCTGCTTGTTTCTTGCCTAGTCGATGCTTTTACCGAATTCACCTGACAGAATTCGAGATCCTCTTTGTACACTCAACATGAGCTGTTGCCGGACCCTTAGAACTTTTCCCGCAGGCGATTAGTGCACGATAAAGAGCACTCGGCCCAACTCGTCACCATGTTAATGGTGGAAGGTGCACCATCCCGACTTATGGAGTCGCAATCTCCGCTTGAACATTGTGTTTTGCATGCACCTAAGGAAGGGTTTTGTGGGCTTTACTTCTTCATTATTCATTTTTATTAATTCGTTTCTCTTTGATACAAGACTTCTGCCAGGATTTATGCACACTATCAACGGATGAATATTTGCAAGACTAATGTGCACTTCAGTTAAAATCAGAAGTTTTCGGCACTTCGTTGCCAATGAGTTGAGTATTTTCCAAATGTGACTTAAGGTGTGTCACGTATACGGTGGCAAAAAATTCGCTTAAGTTTCTTGCCACTAAATGCAGCTTGAAGCTGCCAAAAAACGAAAAAACACTGAACGTCGCTAAATGTTGTACATTTGTAGGCAAATCAGATAGAAAACGCCAATTTTTGTAGCATTTGTTAATTTGGCGCACCATCATGAATGGTGCATTTCAGCGCAATTTCGCTGGCACGCCATTAGCCATCGTAATAGCCAGGTGAAAGGAAGGCCTTCAAAAACCACATGTTCGAATTTACCTTATTTTTCACAACTTAAAGCGTCCATATGTGTCGATAAATTTAAGCGGACCTTTTTATAAGTATTGTAACAGGAAATCCAGATGGCGGACGGTCTATTCCACACGTACATTTTGAAACCATTAGGACGGCGTTCATTGCCAGTCTTAAAAATAATTTTGCACCAAATCGTCCAGTCCTGCACACAAGTACTGACTAAAACCACTCCGACAGAATCCGAACCAGTTGAAATGTCAACTAACATCACTTGAATAAAGACATGTTAAAATCATCCTCTTTCCGTCCATAATTTGTCTGTGAAGTCTAAATGCGCATCAATCAACCATTCAGACGGCGTTGGTTTTGGCTATGCCGCCCTCTTTTATGAATGTAATTATCTGCTTATAACCCAGTCGGCACATGTCCTGGCAGAGACAACAGCCATGTACTGCTAAGGCAGGACTGAAATTGGAAAGCAACTTCCAATTTTCCATTAACTCCATGAAACGGAGACTTTGCGGAAATATTTTAACATCATCTAGAATAGAAAAGTCTCTAAACATAGTTAAAATTTACTTCCGCTCTCAACCTATACCGCGTTTCCTCAGCCCGCGTTCTGAGTGCTCCGCCAAACAGGATTCGCAAAATGACCAACTCCGTATTTTCCAACCGATTCATTCGCTGTACTATGATGAAAGGGAGGCTTTTGTTTTGACGGCTGCGGATTTCTTTTTTTTTTACAAAAATAGTAATATTCTGAAAAAAAGACAAAATCTTTAAAGAAATGGTTTTAATGGGCATCATTTAAAAACCACACCCAACAATGCATAGCCGATTTGGAGGCCCGAACCACTTCAATGTTTCGCATGTCAAAGGCCTGACCAACTGCGCTTCATCTTTTATGACATTTTGATTGCTTTTAAATTTGACGGTAAAAAGGGTTAATTGCTTTTTGAATAAAAGTTGGAGCTTTTACCTCCCAACCCTTCATTGAATAGGTCAATTGGATATGAATCCACATTTTTAAAACAACGTATCATGATCGTAAAGAATGTAGGGGGGCGACTCAAAGACAGTGAAGTCAGAAATGCGACTCACATGCATGTGGTGAAATTGGTGGCAGTCGTTTTAACTCTAAAGGTGAGAGCTTTGAAGTTAGTCCATGCTAGAGGAATTGCTTCTGTTCCTTAAAATATCCTCCTACCAATCACCACGTTGGTATTTTACTCAAAGTTTCCAATGTGAAAAGGTAGGAGGCTTTCGCATGAGCAACGCCCTAACAAGCATAAATAGACTCCCATTTACAACCCAATTTTAAATTCAATAAACAACAAACATCATAAGCCGATTCAGTGTGAGGCTATTAGGCATGCATCTTATCATTCACAGAGCCCACCCTCTTGCAAAACCTGCATTTCACTCCGCAGGAGCCGCCCTTGGCGTCCAACTAAGGCGAAACAAACACCTACAACAATTTCCACGACCCTCCTACGCTATTTTACCTGCAATGCATTTCTGACCTGCAATAAAGTGTGCCAGCACTGTGAACGGACTGGCATGGGGCAGCATCGTTCGCAACATGCATCACCAGCTACCCCGCTTGGAAGCGCAAACGCTCCATATCGAAGAACAGGAAGACATGCTGAGCCCCCTTCTACGAACCACTCACACAGCATTTTCGCATGCGATTCGAGGGAAGGTAGGAGGGCAACGGAAGACACCACCTCTGCCACATTTTAGTCGACAATCACCTGAATTACCTTTTCCCCATTGACCCTCTGCACCACAAGAAGTAAGCACTTGGAATGGGCCATAAAATGGGACATCATGAGACACGTCTTCTCCCCATTTCAATCCAAGCCTCATCAGCCCAAATGACGCACCACCTAATGCTGCATTTCAACCCATCAGATCGTGGGCTTCCAGTGCTGCGCAACTACTGCTGCACTATTGTGCCTCTCGACTCAGTCACCCTCTCGGAATGCCGTCTAAGTAGTAGGACAAGCACTACTCGCGGCAGGCTTGACATTGCAGGGACACCTTTGCTGTCAGCAACATGCCATGTGACTCGCAAATCGAATGTGCCACTCTCCCAACAACAAAACAGCAGCAGCACCAGCAGCAGCACCAGCAGCGACAGCGACAACATGTGCTGAATAAAAGCGTGTCTTTGACACTCCACCCCTTCCACAACCAACTTATCCTCATGAACGCCAGCATTTGGTGGATAATGTCTGTCGGCACCAAAGCCACATTAGGGGGCGTGAAGAGTGGAGGCGTTAGAAGGCGGAGGTACCTGCTCTGCTCACACCTGTGCATGCACGTGTACCAGTGTCAGGAGTGGAATTGAGGAAACTCAGACTGGCCTTAGTGGTGTTGTTTGTGGGCAAAAGTGGGTGACTCACATGTGGACAGTTGCGATTGCGTGTTATTTAGGTGGGAGAGCACTACCCAACCAATGGCAAGTTGTCACGCGAGTGTCGATTCACATGTAACATGCTCTTTTGGGCACAATTGCATCTAGCAATCAGGTATGGTATGTGGGTGAGGAGGTGGAGTGACACAGTCATCGAGAGAGGTGGGAGGTATGCTAACAGACGCACCAAGTTCCCTGTTTGATGACATCTTGGCAAAGTGTGGTGAGAAAGGAGAGGTGGGAGGGGGAGGGTAGCGGTGTGAGGAAGGTAGGAGGCAGGACCAGGTTGGTGAGACAAACGTGCACTTGATTAAACAATGCTTCCCTGTCATTCATCAGGCTTGTGATGAGGGGCAACACGGGTGATGTGAAGGCGAGCAAGGTAGCGGGAGGGGTGGAGCACTGGTAGTTAGGTGGGTTGGTGGGAGTGTGTGTAGTCTACTGAGTGGTTGTGTGAGAAGCACAATGGAAAGATGATTGAAGAGGATCGTGTGTACCTCACGAAGCATGTTACTCACCGATCGACACGTTGTTGTGGTTGATGAGTGTGGTAGGGGAGGAGAGAGGAGTGCAGAGTAAAGTGAATGGAAGGCGAGTTTCGTGCAGTGGGTGGGTGGGTAGTGCGTGGGAGGGGAAAGAGGGGCAGTGTGGTGGAGGAAGTGAGTCACGACCTGTGCTGTTTGATAGAGCAATGGAGTGTTTGCGTGAGGACGTTGGTGATGGAGTGGAGCGTGGGATGCGCCACCTCAGTAGCACAGACTGGGTGGGGATAGGTGAGTAGAGTGTGGCAAATTCCTCGCATGAAATGCGAGTATTTGGCGTAGGGATAATGACGAGAGTGTGTGGCACAAGGTCGGGTGAGCCAAATCGTGTGTGGGTGTCTTGTTGAGGTGAGG